GGGGCGGCCCCGCGGCCGCTCAGCCCGAGCCCGAGCGGCTCCCCCTGCCCTGGCGCTGCACGGGCGCTCTTGGGCTTTCACAGCATCACAGGACCATTCAGGTTGAAAAAGATCCCCGAATCCAACCATCATCCCTACTCTACAACGTTCTCCCCTAAACCACATCCACCAACACCACATCCAAATGACCCTTCGACACCTCCACGGATGGTGGCTCAACCACCTCCCTGGGCTGCCTGTTTCAGTGTCTAACCGCTCTGTGACAATTTTTTTCCCCAATGTCCAGTCTAAACCTCCCCTGTTGCAGCTTGAAGCCCTTCCCTCTTGTTCTGTTGCTAATTACCTGTGAGAACAGACCAGCACCAACCTCTCCACAATGACCTTTCAGGTAGTTGTAGAAAGCAATACGGTCTCCTCTCAGCCTCCTCTTTCTCAAACAAAACATTCCCAGCTCCTTCAAGCATTCCTCATAAGACTTATTCTCTAGGCCCTTCACCAGCTTCGTTGCCCTCCTCTGTACTCGCTCCAGCACCTCTCTCTTGAATTAAGCAGCCCAGAACTGGACACAACTCCAGGTGTGGCCTCACCAGTGCTGAGTACAGGGGGACAATCACCTCTCTGCTGCTGCTGGTCACACTATTTCTAATACAAGCCAGGATGCCATTGGCTTCTTGGCCACCTGGGCACACTGCTGGCTCATATTCAGCCGCTTGTCAATTAGAACCCCCAGGTCCTTTTCTGCCAGACACTTTCCAGCCACACTTCCCCAAGCCTGGAGCATTGCCTGGGGTTGTTGTGGCCCAAGTGCAGGACCTGACACTTGGCCTTGTTGAAGCCCAGACCATTAACATGAGCCCAACAATCCAATCTATCCAAGTTCCTCTGTGGAGCATGCAGATCAACACTCCTGCCTAGTTTGGTGTCATCTGCAAATTTACTGATGATACACTCTGTGTCCTTATCAGCATCAAAAAAGGAGTTAAACAGAAATGGTCCCAACACTAAGCCCTGAGGAACACCACTCGTGACTGGCCCCAGCTGGATTTGACTCCATTGACCCCCACTCTTTGGGCCTGACCATCCAGCCAGTGTTTGATCCAACAGACTGTGTGCCCATCCAGGCCATGAGCAGACAGTTTTTTTATGAGAGTTCTATGGGAACCGTGTCAAATGCTTTTTGGATGTCTAGATCGGCAATATCCACAGCCTTTCCCCCATCCAATAATCGGGTCATCATGTCATAGAAGGAAATCAGGTTCATCAGGCAGGACCTGCCTTTCATAAACGCACGCTGACTGGGCCTGATCCACTGCTTGTCCTCTATATGGCTTCTAATGACACTCAAGATGATCTGCTCCATGACCTTCCCTGTACCTAGGTCAGACTGACACGTCTTCCTCAGGGAACACTTGCAAAAACATCACTTATACCTCAAACCCAAGGCTAGCGGGGCCCGGGGTTTGCCAGCTCATCCCAGTGCAGTGCTGGGCCCAGGGAGAGCAGGAGGGGTGACCCAGCCCGCAGGGGCCCCACCCCGGACACAGGGCAGGGAGACAAGCACTGCTCTTGGACACCTTCACTCCAAGTCCGGAGCAGAGCTCCACTCTGCTCAGGCTTCAACATAAGATGGCCAGACCAGGCTCCAGGAGCAGTTCTCACAGATGATCACTGCCTTCTGGCATAATACTAGAGGAAACAAGCTTAGCTTATTAGGAGGTGCTAATTACATTAACCACTTTACTTTCCATTTAGGTTTTAAATTATGCAAGACCTACCTTGCCTCTAGCTGTTAGGTTTCAGGTCCAGTTACACTCTCAGAACAAATACTGTGGGGTTTTTCCTGTGTATGTAGCTGGTATAGGAGCCCTTGCACAGAGAACACCGAGCAAGTCTCCATTCCTGCCCTTCCCAGAAAAGCAGCCATGGTTGATCAAATTTGCAAAAGACACAGCAGGCCAAAAGTCCTCCCAAAAGTGAATTGCCTTGACCAGGATTTGCAGTCTATTACAGGGAGTTGATGATCATGCATCCTGTGCCACTTTAGAAAGATGGGGGAAGAAAAGGTTATGATCTACTTTACTGTGCAAGTGTCTGTCAAGAGCTTTTCTTGACTGAGCTCTCACATAAAGGTTTAACAAACACTTTAAGGCAGGACCTTTTTTTTTTTTTTTCCTTCTTTTGGCCCCCAGGATTCTTGGCTTGAACAGTACTCTTTGCAATGCTAATACAAGTTATTAATGTGAAGGGCCAAGAAGAAAGGAGATGCAGAAAAGAAATAGTAGAATTCACAATCTTATTCCTCTTTTCCCCAGTATGTCTTTGAAGCCCTTCTAAACACAGAAGAGTAAAGAAGCAGTGCAAATTGCGTATGAGGCATATGCAGCAGATGTAATGCCTATAAATAAAGTGCAAGTGCTCTCACTGTAGACACCCATTCGCAAATAGCTCCCACATTCTTTCCCAAGCTGCTACTCCCAACTTACCCCCCACTTAACATTAATCATTGCCAGGCCCACCTATGGCGCGACTCAATACATAATGTTTCTCCTTTATCCCTTCCAACCTTTCCTTCTGCTTTACCCTCATTAGTGCTAGATGCTTTAGCTGTAGTATTTACTGTGTCTGTTAAAGTAAATCCAAGTTGAGGAACGAGACTGAAGCAGATGTCTCAGAACAAGGGCTTCAGTGAAAGAGGAAATTGCCTTCAAGAAGTCCTCTGAGCACATGGTTTAAATTCACTTAACAGTCTTAAGAGTAGAAGGTAAAGTAGTTATCATAAAAACAGTGCATCTAGTTTTAAAGTCAGAATTGCAGGCAGTCACTGGTGAAATCAGATAAATATTTGATCTTCCTGCATTTATGCATTTGCTGTGCTTGCATGCATGCAGGAGGGCAAGTGTCTAAAATTGGTCAAGTATCACTGACCATCAGATGCAGAAGAGCAATTTAGAAAATATGGGAAGCAAGAAGGTTTAGCCAAACACATCAGACAGTTAAAGGGATTCCACATAACAGCAACCTCCTGTAAACAGCCTACAGTGGTTACAGATGAGAAAGGAAAGCAGACAAGTAAGACTTTAGGCACAGGGGAGTTTCTGAACTAAGGTATGCACATGGACTCCTTAACCTACGAGTGACCAAGCATGTTCAGTTCATACAGACTTCTTAGAAAGGATAATTTGCAAAACTGGCAAATCCAGGCAGGTAAAAAAAGAATCTCATTTAGTGGCTTACAACTTGAACAGAAGACAATGTTAAGTTTTATTTCTGCTAAACTGTAACACTTTCTGGCAGAGAAATTATAATAACCATTGTTGTTTTTATAGACCACATCATCTGCCAATATGAAATATCTCTACCTGGTGTCAAGTCCTGCACTAAGATTTGTTACCTGCTTGATTACATAATGAAGCTGTACCCAATAACAGAACATAGCCTTACCCTAATGTTAACTTGATATATTGGCAGCTGACCCAGATCAGGCATGGTAGTGTTTTTGGTTGTTTTCAAGTCGTGATGCTGACTTCCTTAGCAAGCAGTAAAGAGGAAAGTAAGACATACAGGCAGATCTGGTTTAACATACTCCATTTATTATTTCTCAATTATTTTCTCTATAGATCTCTTCAATAAAACAAACTATATTTTGTAATAGATTACTTCATTGCAGGTATTGCACAGGCTATACTCATCTGGGCACCATGGAAACAAGATAGCAGGTGGTTACTGTCTTTTTTTAAAATATATATATATATAATTTAGCACAATTAGAACCAGCAGAAGAGAATACTAACCATTTTCAATGGGTAATCTCATTTAAATATCCACAGCCATTTGACTTCAGTTCTACTGGATTAGAGAATCCAGGGTATTAGTACTGGATAGAGCATAAGGAAGGCCTCCTCTCTGCAGCAAACCCCCCTTGGCTACTGGCCTCCAAAGGCATTCAGTGGGTCATCAAATGTGCTTAGTGGCTTGCTTTCAGATTTTGCTTCCGAGGCTGCTTGAGAAGATCTGCTTTTGGGAGTGGGTATCTTGGCTTGGCTGCTAGAGAAGATATAATTTAAAGGGAGAAAAAAAAAAAAAAAAAAAAGATAGATTTTAATGTGAAGTGACTGCCAAACAGAAGTAACATTGTACATAAGTCTCCAGCACACAGCACTGACTGCCAAGGACATTCTGTGATAAACAAATGCTTTCCGGCTGCTCACAATTCTAGATGCATTTGTAAGGACATATGTGGGAGCTGTTAGCTGTAAGTCAAATTAAGAATATTCTTCTCAGTAGAGCAGAATAATACTTTTATTTTAGAACAAGTTCAAGCTCTCATAAGCATTTGAGAAATACTAATAAATTAAACCTCCACAATAACTTTCATCATGCAAATGCCAGATGACATCCGTCTTATCTAGAACACTATGTCTGAGGAACCTGAGAGATCCAAAAGCAGCGAGATTGTTGCCAAAAAAAAATCACAAGAGGAGAAGAGGTGACTTGCTGGTGACTACTGCTGCAAAATCCACTAGACATAGGTGAGTCTTTAATCTACAGCACAATAAGAACACAGCATAAATCACTTGAGAGCTGAGCACAACTAAGACGCCAGGAGGCAGACAGCTACAACTGCCATTCTACCAAATATTCAAAAAGTCTGTCTACAGTCCTGAATTGACATCTCCCACCACATTCATCAATACATGCATTTCTCTTATTAATAACTAGGACAACAAAGTGGAAAATTATCATGTTGCTATTAAGACAAGGTCCTCTCTCCTGAGTCTCCTTCACTGGAGACATTCAAAACCCACCTGGATGCGTTCCTGTGTGATGTACTCTAGGTGACCCTGCCCTAGCAGGGGGGTTGGACTAGATGATCTTTCGAGGTCCCTTCCAACCCCTAGGATTCTATGATTCTATGATTCTATGAAAGATATTAGGTAGAAATTAAACTCTCCAACCCAGATACCCTGTGGCAGCAGCAGGGTTCACAGACCTGCAGTTCTTACTGTGGCTAGTGTTGCTTGTGTTTAGGACTATGTTCACGGAAGGAGATGGAGCAGATACCATACACATGCTGAAGTGTTGCCCTGAGGCCTCCTGGACACACACAGCAGCAGTTCTCTTTCTATACACTAAGGTTTTAAATTTAGGATACTGACATCATGCAGCTGGACTATGAGGGGATAAAAAAAAATTACAAGACTGAGATACACAGATCACTAGTGATTCACAAGGCCAGACTAAGTAGCACATAACTGGTCTTGAATCCCTATTAAGAAAACACAAGTCTTATACAGAGGTTAATGGCCATTTACTTACTGGCCCAGAGTATAAAAACTAGTATTTCAGCCTTCAGCATATATCCTAATCTTGAGCAGAGACCAAGCACAGAATGGCCTATCACAATGCACTTTGCCTTTCTCCTCTCGCTACTTCTTCCACTCCACTGCCTGTAACTGTGCTGATCACAGAGATTACACAGAAATAATCCAGGACAGCATTTCAGCACAGAAGCAGTTTAGAAAGGCAGTAAAACTGAGTAATCCCCTACTGGCATCACTCCAAAGGAAGAAGCTATCACATGGATTAGCTTCACAGCAGAGGGGAAATATGGTGGATGCCATCAGCAGAGGTATCACTTGCATTTTATAACAAGGCTTAAGGAAGAGGAAAATTTTGGCCACGGAAAACAGTATTTGCCAATGCATAAGAAAGCTCAGTCACTGCTTTGCAGACTCTCCCAGACAGGCAGAGATAACATCAAGATATTTGTGTCAGAAGCAAAAAGGTCACTGAGGAGGCTAGGAAGATAAAGACCTGAGAAAGAGCGTGTCTAATTC